CTTTTAAAAAATAACTCAGGCTTCTAAAAACTCAAGCCTCCTCACACTTAAGACCCCGTTACCTTGTAGACATAGATTATGAGCTGATTATTTGTCAACACTAATTCCATATTCGCAAGGGCAACTTCAACACCTAAATGAGTATGCTGAAAACTAATCCAGGAAGCAGTATAGCTTAATTTCTGCATTACTGTACCAGTACTAATAAGTCTCTCTGTCAAGTGATGTAACGTTATACAGGTAGGTCTAAGAACTCTTAGATCTGACGTGATGTGTCTACTGTATGGGACCTACTGTTCCATCTTTGATATGTCCCTGTCATTCTCAATACAAATATGGCCAGCAAATTTTACTTTTAGAATTGAAAACAAGGCACTTTGGCATTATAAATATTAAATACTAAAATATTAAAATTCTAAGCAGTTTACCAATTTATAATATGAAATAATCATCAACAAGGGCTCTCCCATCTCTTTTCAGGAAAAAAAAAAAAGTTACTTTACATAATACAGAGGTACTCCCTCTTAGGGAATAAAGGTGTCATTAATCAATGATCTGGTGAAGATGTAAAGCATCCTTCAGTAGAGAGTTATGGTAATACTGAATTCCTTAAAACTTCCCTGATAAACCATGCCTTCACCTAACAGGTTATCAAAAACTTGAAATAAGAACAACAAGCCATGCTCTCAAAAGCAATAAAAAGGAGGAAAAAATGCATAGAAATCCACTTCTAGGAACTGACATTCAATACTCTGTAACTTACACATGTCAAGACATGCTACACTGTGGTACAAGTCTGGGTAAGCTGAAAGCAATGTAGAAAAGGACTACGTTTGATTTTCTGCCTACATTTGAAACTGGAGAAGAACTGATTACATCCATGACTTATTTTTTTTAAAAGCTTAATAGGTTTTCATCACTGGTTTCTCTCTAATTCTGCTGTCTTCAACCAGTACCTCATTAGGTCACGTGTATGAATTTCAAAATGCAACGTAAGATATATAGTAGCATGAGACGTATACGAGATGTACTATAATCCATACCTGACTAATATGTCCACCATAGTATCACAATAAACAACAACTCACAACTCTTTGCAAATGAGGGCAGCTACACTGGACTCTACACGACCTTCAGAAAGCAAATCTAGCAGGTGAAAGTTAGTTTGTACCACACAGAAAAAGCTTCTGGATAAAGTACTGCAATATTTTAATCCTCAAAAAGATTGACAATAGAACGTTCTTAAGCTGAGGAAGAATTTCCACTTTTTGACACTATTCACAGATGACCAGAAATGCCACAGTCTTGACAGGATGTTCAGTTTCCCAAATATTTGCTAGAACACAGTGGCAGAAGGAAAAAAAATCCATATTACTAATTCTAGACAAAATAAATGATTGCTTTGAATGGAACTAATACAGGAGCTAACTGCTTAAATAACACCACCCAGCCTCTATATAGAACGCATCTCTTGCTTCTCTAATTTCTTTTTCTACCTGAATTCTAGTGTTTCAAGAATCTAAGACCAACATATTTAATTTCATACTTTGACAACTTCTTTTTGGTGTTAACATCCAATAGCTGTTACATTATTTTATATTGAAATGCAGTTGAGCTTAATAGTGGAAGTTTTCCAAACACAAACCTAAATCTGATAAAGCAGATATTATTAAAATACCTAGATGTAGCAAATCATTGTAATATAAAAATACACAAATATTCTAATTCACTATATTTTAGCCATTTAGAGACAGTTTCCACTTTAATAAAGTTCAAGACAATTCAACTACAGCAGTCAAAGAAGATGGCATTGAATGTTTTGATCTAGAGCGAATGAATCTTCCTATCAAGTAGTAAGTTCTATTTTCTCATAATGAATTATTTTTTCAGGGATGACTATTTAAGGTATATGTAACTCCTACAATATTTGCTATTTGTATTGTAGAAGATAAAGTGCACAACATTCCAACAGATAGACTTACAAAAGTAGCCCAAATTTACCAGGTTTAAACTGCCATTGATTGTACATTGCACTGGGTCAGTAAGTTCTGTTTCGGATGACAAATTGGCACAATCTATCTAATTTGAGCAGATGTTGAAGTAAACAGTCCTGGGCCAAAAGAGGACACCGGAAATTCCTCATTTCATCAACTGTGGAAGACAGTTTTAAATTATGATGAAGAAAAAGAAGGATATATGTGGAAGTACTGTCAATAAAAGATGTACTTTTTAAAGTAAATTATGTAATTATTAAAAAATTATATTCAGCTTCATGACACATTTTCCAAAATACATCTTGATTTTTATTTTTTTTTCCTGGATGAGAAGAGTCCATTGTTACTTGTTGACAAATGCTTTTAGGTTTATTCAATTAACACTATTTGCCACCTGAATCCAACCCCTTTATTTAGAGATGTCTAACAGAGAACAGTAGTATTTGAACTGGGGCAGGGGAAGGGCTGTAACTTTACTTCTTATGGTAGGTGGGTTTTGACACCAAGTCTGCTGCCCATTTAAATCAGAATCCTGTTAGAATCTTCAAAGCAAGGCATAAGAAAATCTGCAAGGAACAATCACCTGTGCCTTAGAAAGGTTGTTTCTTATTTGCCAACAATTCATTTGCTATTTCCCACCTCTCCCAGCTGATGAAAGCCAAACACAGTTTTCCAGATTTATACTTGAGATACAGGAGTTACTATCACTCTCTCTGGATGTCTGTTTTCCCACCTCTCCCAGCTGATGGAAGCCAAACACAGTTTTCCAGATTTATACTGTAAAATTTGAGAAATACCAAAAATGTTACCTAAAGACACACAAAAAAACCCCTCCCTGTTTTTAGTTGCTGTCTACATTGAGCAAATTTCATTTGGCTGATCACACTGACACTCCTCTGAGTCAACTGAGCTGGTTTAGAACTCAGCTCAGTGCCTGTGCCAGAATTATTTATGCATAAATTATCTCATGGTATTTTTATTGATGGTGATTGATATACTTACTTAAAATAGAACATCAAATAATATGGGCAAAAATAGAATAATTATCACCTTGGCAAGAGTCAGGGATAAATTTTGCTCTTATATTGCCAGTACTTCCCCAAATGAAAGCATATGATCAAAAAAGTAAAATCATTCATTATTGAACGTCAGAAATATCAAAAGCTGCAGAGATCAGCAGGACCTATTACGCCAACCAAAAGTGGAGGACTGGAGCAAGCAAAGGAACTAAAAAGAGCTCGGTAACAATAAACTGGCTAATAGGGAAAAAATTAAATCAGATTCAAGACAAAGATGCATTGTAGACATACAACAAATAGCATGTAACTTTACAAAGCTTTCTTTATTCGGGACTTTTCACCAATGCTTGAAAATTAAGGATTTAGAAGATCCACAAGCAAAATCAAAGCAGTACAGCATATTTGATTTGTTTAGTAAAAAAATTACAATTGTTTTATCTGTCCGGTCTTTTTAGATTTTGGAGTACTGCGTCCAGTTCTGGGCTCCCCAGTTCAAGAAAGACAGGGATCTGCTAGAGAGGGTCCAGCAAAGGGCTACAAAGATGATTAGGGGACTGGAACATCTCTCATATAAGGAAAGGCTGAGGGATTTGGGTCTCTTTAGTCTAGAGAAAAGAAGATTGAGGGGGGATCTTATCAATGCTTATAAATACTTAAAGGGAGGATGCCAGGGGGATGGGAGCAGTCTTTTTTCAGTGGTGTCCAGTGATAGGACAAGAGGTAACAGGCACAAACTTGAACATAGGAAGTTCCATCTTAACGTGAGGAGGAACTTCTTTACTTTGAGGGTAGTGGAGCACTGGAACAGGCTGCCCAGAGAGGTGGTGGAGTCTCCCACTCTGGGGACATTCAAAACCCGCCTGGACGCTGTCCTGTGCAACGTGCTGTAGGTGACCCTGCTCTGGCGGGGGGGTTGGACTAGATGATCTCCAGAGGTCCCTTCCAACCCTGACCATTCTGTGATTCTGTGAATGTACATATCAGGTATATTTTTCGGAGGATGATATATAATTCCTTAATTTCAGCTAATTAATAAAGTATAGGTGCAAGTATATAGTCAAGATTCAGAGTACGGTAAATATTCTTAGGCCTATACCTCCCCATTCAATGGTGACCTCAGATTTTTAGATTTTGGTGCTGCAAATTCTCCTTCCCATGCTAAGCAAAACAATGAAAGAATATTTAGTCACATAAATGGCTCATAAGAAGTAGAATATGGGACCTTGGGCAGAGACAGACAGTACTGAGTTCAGCAAAAAAAACAGCCACTTATTTCAGAGAAGAAGCTGGTCCAATGGATGCAAACAAGAGAAACTTGTTGCTGCTCTCAGGTGAAAAAGTACAAATTAAAAGCTTGTTCAGATGACATGAGCTCTTACATAAAGCAAAGTTAAAAAGCTATTTGCCAAAGTGTTTTTATTGCCTTCCCTTTTCCCACAGGTATATCAAGTCTCTTCTACAGCCAGAGAAAGAGATATCCAACTTCTATCATAAATATACCAATATCCCTAAAAAAATTTAGAAGCAATATGCCAAACATATATTCCATGTAGGTGATCACAACAAGTGGTTTCTGAACTAAAAAGACACAACCATAAAACTTTCACTTAAATGATAAGAAACTGATTTAGTATCAATAGCTCTCCATAGGTATGGCCATCGCTGCTGTGTGCTTGTGGTAATATAAACATATTACCACTATTAAACAAAGTAAAGTCATACATGTGCTGTTGCTTAATACTTTTTTTTTTTTTTTAATGAAAACCAAGGTGTTTCTAGGAATTTCAAGTTGTCTATTTGCTTGTAAAATGGTGATTACAATAATTTATTTGTTCAAAATATTCATCATCTGCAACCCAGTTCTCTCATGAATTTCACAAAGCCTGAAGAACACTGAAAAACAGAACAATCCAGATCTGCTTTTCTTGAAATCTGAACCCATAAATAAAATGTCAATATCATATATTTACCTTTTATTTCTTATTAATCAGTTTCTAGCTCTTGGGGGTTGATAAAATTGTTGAGTAGGTCGTGTGGACCGTCTTGGCTGACCATCACCTCCTCTGCGGAATTCTAGAGTTTGCTCATATGTTTCTTCTTCCTCCTCCTGCAGGTAAACAGCATTGTTTTAAATGGAAGAGTAGGTAAACGCGTTATACATGAGTAGGTATATGCATACATACACACAACACATAGACACACATACATGTATGAATGAATTCATGCACACAAAGCAAGTGCTGCTTCTGTGCTGATGACCACTTAATAAAATAAGTGAGATAATGGGAGTGGGGTTTTAAAACCTAGGAAAGCTAACAAAAACAAGATGAAGAATCTCAAAACTCAATCCCCATGGCAGCAGCAGAAGTCATTAAATATTTGGAGGAAAAAAGCATATATATTAAAGCAAAATTATTTTCCAAGAGTCATACAGGCAACACACTCAAGAAGCAAGATAACCACAATAATCTGCCAGAGCAAGAGAAATCCCAGCTTTTGGGAGTTTAGAAATGTGTGTGGAATGAAATGAAATAATTAGGAAATGGAAATGCAAGGAACAACATCTGGCAATATGCATACTAGAAATACAGATCTGAAACAGTAGATAAAAATCTGTGATGCAGTAATAATGAAAAAAGCCTACAAGTATAGTGGACAGCAATTTAGATATGACTTTGCTATGTGCAGCAATAATAAATATAACCTCTGAATAATGACAGAAGAGGCAATTACATATTTGCAATATTGCATTCACTCCTACGCATCTCAATACCAAAAACATACTGACAAATTACATGGAATTCAGAGAAAAAACCCCACCAAAATAATCAAGAGACTGGAGAATGATTTATGAAGGAAGATTAAAATAGCTACAAATTTACTTTGGTCAAGAAATACTGAAAGGAAAAACATTCATCTGATGGAATATTTGAAGATGGTACACATTCAAGATAAAGAATTTTAAGAGCACTAGAGTTGATAACAAAAAGAATAGAAGAAAAAGTTATAGGCTAAAAAAGATAGTTTCTGAACATGAATATCATAGTCAGATGGTGTCTCAAGGAAACAGTTATACCTTCATTTCTTTAATATGCTAACACTACACTGTAGTGCACACCAGATCTAGAGGGAACATGCTGTAAGAAATCTGCTTTTGGGAAAAGGTACTGAGTATAAAACTCCCTTTCATTCACAACCTATGAACATACAGGAACACAAACCACGAACACTGAATGATTCGTTAAAAGTTAATCAACAATTCCAACACCCAGGAGCTGACTAAAGTGCAACATGCATGTAACAAAGATTCAGCTAGTCACAACAGTAAAATATTTCATTATAGGAGCCCAAAAGGAAAATCGACAGCCGAAGTTTCCTTCTGCTGTGAAAAGTCAGATCTTATTCAAGAAACATCTTTCTGAATCAACTTCAGTATCAACAAACATGGATTTTTAAAATAAGCTACAGACAACCACATTCCTCATAGTAAAGTCTCCTATTTAACAGGGCACATCTGTGGTTATAGCTATATTTCCAGAACAACAGATTAAGCCCTACTACAGAGAGTCTGAAATAACTGTAGAAGAAAACAGATTTTCAACACAACTGAATACAGCATAATTGATTTTTATCTTTTAGTTTCACTGTAGCCAAAGGCTGAGAACCATGGAATTCTGCCATAAAACTTACTTTTTTTTTTCCAGTGTACCTCTTTTACCGCTTGCAGGACTATTGATTCCCTCATATAAAGAGGTTCAGGGACATTGATTATCCGAAAGAAAAAAAAACAACAACAGAAAAGCAGATGTCTAACCAAAAAATCCACACAGTTTGCAATACCGTTAGCCCTAGTAGAAACCCTCAACTTAGTATATGAAGTAATCTCTCATCACTGACAACACAAGCTGTACTAGCATCAAAATGTTAAAAGGTAAGCTGAATACCTGAAGTGGCCTAAATACCTTTAACTCTTTCAATATACTCCAAGAAACCTGAATACCTGAAAATAGTTTCATATTATTTGCCAAAAGAATAAAGAAAAACGCAATTGCAAGCTTTCTTAAGATTCTTTGTCAGAGCTCCAATCTGACATAAAAGAGCTCACGCTTCAAGAATAAATTGGTGAACTTCCATGTACTCAATATTTGGATTTTTCCAAAACTGGAAGACTAAATGGTATACATGCGTGACTGAAAAATTAGCAATGCATATTGGTGTTTTCAAGAGACCATAGTGAATTAGACACAAATCTTTTCTTTGTAACCTTGGTAGTCTTTGCTCAAAAAGAACAGAAATTAAATAGTTTAGTGCATCTCATCTCACCTGTAATAGCCAACCTCTTTCTGAAGATAAGTATATCAGAGTAAATTTCTAGAGCAGCAAATCTTCATCAAATCTCGAAGTTAATGCTGTCGATCCTTTGAATCCAGTAAAATCAAATTAAAACTAGAATTTGTCTTACACATTTCTATGTTGGTGCAGTTGTCTTTACACATAGAATGAAAAACTGTAGATGCATGCATTCCAAGTATTATTTTTTTTTACAATAGACAAGAATGAAATGTGAAATCACATTCACTTCTTGAAGCTCTGAAGAAAATGAAAGTGAGCAATACAGCAAATTATAAGACTAAATGAGCAACAGAACATGTTTCAACTGTTCCCTCTCTCTTCCCTGTGCAGACTGGCTCCCCACACAGAATTACTGATCATGTTGAAGTCTTCCATCTTCATGTCAGATGACACATTCTCATTTGTTTGTTGGGTCCTAACTATTCACATTTCATCCTAATCAGATCTGGTATTCTCCAAAATAACTATTTGCCAAGCCATATCTTTATTAAATGTTGTTTCTTGTTTTGGAAGTAACTGCATTTCTTTTCTTCCATCATTTCTTGATCACTGACCCTCAGGCCACCACTGCTGATCTTTCACCCTTTTCCTGTTGCCATTTTATTTTATTTCCATCTTAAGGATTTTTTCCTGGGCTTATCTTTATCTCAATTTACTTTAAAATCTTTCCACCCCATGCTCAAAACTGCGATCACTCTTCTGGAACACCATCCACCCTCTGTAGACAAAACTTACTGTCTGTAATGTTCACTTTCTTGTTTTCCCAGTTCTTCAATCTAAAAACTTCATCTGTCTACATTTCTTCCATTATAACTCTGTAGTCAATTAGGTCACACATCTTGCCACCAACTCTAGTCTTCTGGTCTTTCTTGCTGCTTGCTTTCAATTCATCAGTTGCTTCTGATTCATTCTAAATTATTTCATTTCCTATTTCCTTATCCACGTAAGACCTAGATTACATTTTATAAAGCAAAGGTGGCCACAACTCTCAGAGTATTTTAATTCTCCTTCTATTACCAGAAGAAGTTTAACATTAGTACACTAGTCAAAAAATTTATATATTTTATTATCTCCATCCTTCAGCTTATTACTCATTACTGTCGGAGTGGGATCGGACCCGGAGTAACGATGAAATCTCAATGTGAGTATGGTCATTCTCCTTTATTGAATATTTTCGCAGAGTATATATAGGCTTACAGCAAAAGCATGCATAGGCAACAACATTATAAGTGGTCCAGCTCCCTTGTTCACGTGCAACGTCCCACAACTAGATTGGCTAAGGCCCTCTGTCCACGCGCCTCTTGTTTTACTCTTCTCCCGGCTTATCTTGTCCTGGATTCCATTCTGCTTAGCACTTCTCTTCCTCCCTTTTAGGGCAGCCAAGGGCCGGGGGGGTGGGGGAACATTGAACATAGGCCTCCATGCTTAGTTCAAACCCTGGGTTGCTCAACGGAAATAAGTTATGCCCTTTTTCATTCACGAATGTCTCTACACATTACTTAGCTAATATTCCAGGATCCAGAAGTGAATTTTCTAGTACTTGCACAATGCCTACCTAGTGCAATGTACACCGAGACTAAATGATACCACTAAGCACAACTGCAAAAGACAGCAAAAAACTGGCAGATCCCTAAGAGAAAGCAAGGGAAAGCTTACAATGCAAACAATGAAATGGTCAAATAAATTATTGCAGTAAGAGGTTAGAATGACATGAGCGAGAGGGTGAAGAATGTCAGCACTCTTTAGGTATTGAAAAAAAAAAAAAAAAAGATGGCAAACAGGGAAGTACAAGTCATTGGGAATTTCAGCGTCTATTCAAGATTTTGCCATAAAAATCTGCTGTTACTTTAGATATTTTTGTTCCATCTCATACGACTGACAAGAACTAAACAAGTGTAAAATGGGAATATATGCACACCTAGTGCTTTTATTATGGACCCATATATTCTGAAGAGCTTATACCACCACTGTACTTTACCAGCTCAGCTTAGTGAATCAGGAAGTAACTTCAGTCCAGCCAAGTGACTAGCAGCATGCTTATATGTAAAAAATTCAATGGATTTCATAGCTGCAGAATAAAGTTATAAATCCAGCATTTAAAATAATTTAACAACCAATTTACTCTTAAAATTAACAATATTAGAATAAACTTATGTTTCATTAAAAGCTTTCTCATTGAATTTCAATTGCAAGACTTCTTTCAGTGCATTCAAAAGAACCATTTAGAAACTTTTTTTTTTTAAATATAGTCCTTGAAGTGAACACTTACTGTATAACTCCTGAGAACAATGACTAGGTGGACGACAGCAAAAAGCAGGACAGAAGTTATTCATGACACAAAAGCTTTGCTGAATGTTCTGCTCACAGATACTTAGGATGCTGTTGCAAGCCACAGCTGAGCAGCTCCAAGTTTGCCACCTACAAACAAGTCACCTCTGTCTATTCCTGCTTATGAACAGAAAATTCTGCTCTATTCACTGGGCCCTTCTGCGAAGGCTTTTTAATTATAGCTCTCTGTGTGCTACCAAGTGATGATCACCAGAGCATGTGCAAGGAGGCATGAAGGAGCAGTGTGGGGCCAGGAACCATGGGATGAAGAAGAAACAGAAGGCAAAGAAAACAGAAGACATTTTCCATTTCAGTAATGTCAAACCATTGCTTCAGTTTAAGCTGTACTTTTAACTTCACCCACATACTCAATGCATGGAAAACATGCTGGACTCAGTACAAAGAAAAAGCGCTTGCTTCCTT